CACACTGCAGTTGGAGGACCACCGCTGCAGGAAGAGCCCACCAAACTCAAGTGTGGTGTGAACAGCGCTTGCAGGAAATGCGGTGAAGGCTGCACTGAGAGAAAAGGAGGCTTCAGGCGGCAGGCATTTCTGTACTATCTTGAGTCACTACAGGTACCGTACAATATCCCAAAACAGCTCTCACATTGGGTGAAATGTCTCTTCTGTTCTTGCTATTGAGGAATGACACATACAGTGACACCTCCCAGAGGACATATTTGGACCTTCCAGGCACTCTACGTCCCCAGTATAAACCAGCCTCCCCAACACCCAGTCATCAAGGAGGGGAACGGGGAGGCAGGACAAGACCATGTGTCCTGGATCCTTGTCGGCAGGATTATGGAGAACAGCAATCAGAGTTGATTGATCTTTGAGTCTTGCCTGCTCTGACATTCTAGAATTCTAGGTGGCTAATGCTCGTTGCCTGGTTATGCATGGGAACCAAAAAGGCTAGTTGCTGATGGACTAACAACAGAGGAGAAAAAAGCCAACATTTATTAGGTGTCTCTTAGCCGGGCATTGTGCTAGGCATTTTATACAGTTAATCCTTGCAAGAACCCTGCAAGGGAGGTGCTGTTTACAGGGAAGGGAACTGAGGCTCTGCAAAGCTCAGCAGCTTAACCAAGGTCATGTAGCTAGTATGTAGCTAGTTTCCAAAACTCATGCTCTTTCCACAGTACCACGATCCCTGGGTCTAGAATTGACAAAGCAATACTATATCATGAGGAAAAACATAAAGGGTGATGACCACGACGTGGAAAAAAGTCAATAAGGAGACCCATAAAGGTGGCCCCTCGTTTTGGAGAATGGTCAATGAGGTGAAGGCACCTCAGATGACAGGGAGGGCAAAGGTCATCCAGGCAACCCTACCAGCTGCTGTGTGAGGCACTTCATAAAGTCCGTCCGTTCTGAGACAGAATATGTGCCCTTACAGCCTTGCTCCTGCCGCCCTTATTTTCTATTAGTCTTAAAAAAAAAATAGGCCAATGATAATAGTAATTTGAACATTGCTACCATATATTATGGTCTGTTCTTTCCAGCACTGTGTTTGTTTGTTTGTTTTTGCGGTACGCGGGCCTCTCATTGTTGTGGCCTCTCCCGTTGCGGCGCACAGGCTCCGGACGCGCAGGCTCAGCGGCCATGGCTCACGGGCCCAGCCGCTCCGCGGCATGCGGGATTTTCCCGGGCCGGGGCACGAACCCGCGTCCCCTGCATCGGCAGGCGGACTCTCAACCACTGCGCCACCAGGGAAGCCCTGTGTTAAGCACTTTTAATGCATTATCTCATTTAGCCCCATATCAACCCTGTGAAATAGACACGATTATTCCCATTTTACAGCTGAGAAAACGGAAGCTTAGAAAAGTTCATTGATAGGTGGTGAAGCAGAGGTTTGAACGGAGTGGTCTAACTTAGGAGCCTGCACTCTCCCACCTTCAGGGTAAGCTTTCTTTGCAGGCTTTCTGACCAGCACACTCACTCGCTCTCACGAGAGTGAGACACACACACACACACACACACCCCTCCTTTTCTGTCTCCTCCCTTTCTCTCCTTCCCCCTCTCCCTCCACCGAAGAGACGCTGAAAGCTAACCTCCGTTGTGCTCTCCTGAGTCGCAGCTGAGATGGCCCCACCCACCCTTTCCAGGTTCTCAGGGCGAATCCCAAAGTAACCTGCCCGGCGTCCACCTTCTCTCATCCATGAGAAAGACCTCTCCAGTCCCCTTCCACGGCTCTAAGCTGCCCTCACTTCTCCCCCATCACTGAAGCGAACTGGTCACCCCAGCTTCCTCTGAGGGGAACTCCAGGAGCCTTGTCTATATCTCTGAGGTTGGGTTGATTTTTAGGCCATTCAGCCCTGGGTTCCTTCTTAAAGCCTTGAACCTTTTATTCTGGTTGCCCCTGAGTCCATTCCAAACATTTCGCCCTGCATCTAAAAAGGGTTTCAGGAGAGAGGGTACATCTGGGGCGCCTGCCTGTCTAAACAACTGAAGATAAATGAGAAGGCATTTGGTGAGCCCTGGCTCCTGCGGCGTTATTCATCTGCAACGTAAGAGCAGCACAGAGTCATGGGCAGCCATGGGCAAGCAGAGCCCTACTTAGGAAGGTGCCAAGCAGGGGTGATGGGAGACCGAGAGCTGCTGAGCATAAAATGCCTGCAGAGGAGGTGGAGAAGTTCCCAGGCAAGGAGGGCTGGACACTCAGAGCCGCAGCCACCGTGACCACAGTGCACGGGATCAGGAGTGAATGTGAGTAATCTGAAATTTGAGGACAGCATTAAAACCACAGCCCAGGTGCAGAAGAGTAGGAAGAATGTGAGACTAAGCTAAGGGGATGGCCAGTCCAATAGCTGAGCACACAAACGTGGACAACCTCACACGCGCACAGGCACGTCAACACATGCCAGCCCGCCCAGTGGCATCCCTTTGATTCCAGCTTACTCATCCCTAAATTCACGGGTGACAAGCAGCTCTGGCAGAAGGATCCAGCCTCGCACTTCTCCATACTGCTGTTCTATGGGTCTCAGTGCTGGGCTCGCCCAAGGCCGCCGTCCCTCCCCGTTTCTCTGCTCAAAGCAACCCACTTTCCTGTCTCTTGCTTCACTGTATGGTCACCAGCTCCAGCCTGAGCTGCAGACAGTGCACTTGGGGGATGTCAAGTATCCCCTCCAGCAAATAGAATGAATCTCCCAAACCTCAATCCTGAGTTGCCTCTCCATGGAGGGGGCCGCCAGGCCCTGGTGCCTCTAGAGGCCATTTGGACCCTCCGAAGCAGCTGTTCTATTGCCAGCTGTCCTGCCTATAGCATCTCAGCCACAACACCCTGGGAGTGGTCTCCTTCCTTATTTCCTTTAAAGCCCCATCTTTCTGTGCCCTGAGAATGAGACCCCTCAGTGTCTGCCTTGTTCCCTTGTTCTAAGAGCATCACCCTGCCCTGGAGCCCATCTGTCCACCACCCCATCTCAGGCTCCTGCAGTCACACTGATGCCTCTCAACTTCCCTCTTCCCTAAGAGGTAACTGACACACAGGGCTGGGGCAGGTGGTGTAGACTTCCACCTACTCTGCTTATCAGGGACCTTTGTTTCCTATCCTCCTCCCCTTCACTACCAGCACCTCCTGGGTGTAAAGTTCACCCGTGTGGTCTTTGGATAAAGGGGAAAGGCAAGCAAAGCATCCTCAACACAGAAAAGCACCCTCGGGATCCCCATCTCCCATAGCTCTCCCAGTTTCTTCCTCCTCGTATATACCTCCTGTACTTGGGGGGGGGGGTCTCACTGGGACCCCTTCCATTCATATAAACTTCCAAGTACCGAGTCTCTAACCTTCCGTCCCACACAGCCCTGAATCATCCTCCCCCTACTCTTCATCTCATCAGTCACTGTTATGACTCAACAGCACACTCATGGTGTAGGAAACAGCATCCTGGCCAAAGCATGGCATGGCAGACTAGTTAAGGCCCTACTCTTTGGCATCACAGAGCCTGGGTTTGAGTCCTGGCTCTGCTAATTACTAGCCAGTCGTATGATCTATACGAGTGATAATGGGCGAGCTCCAGTTTCATCATCTATAAAATGGGGAAATTCTTAACACCCACCTCCTGGAATTGTTAGGAGAATTGATTGGCGTTATGCAGAAAGGCATGAGTACCATGCCTAGTGTAGAGGAATATATCA